TATCAGTCTAAATAGATGTCTTTCATAAACCTTGCTTTGTTTTGGTGAAAAATATTCATCTAATTTATTAAGTGCGACCTTGTAGACGTCTACTCCTTCTGCTTCATCCACGTGTGCTCCTGGTATATTATAATAGATATCCTGTAAAGTTAGTCCTCCGGTGTGTAGGAGCGTTGCTCTTTTATTTGCTGGTTTATCTATGTTCAAAGCTAATAGATATATTTCCAGTGCTCTCTTCCATTTTTCCCAGCGTGTGCCTACAGAAGCTGGGTCACCGTCACAATCAAAACAATTGAGACTTGTCAGCGTCGAGGCTAGTTGAGCCATTTAGATGATCTGAAATTAAATTTAAAATATATATTTTTTTTTTCCATGGCCCTTTATAGCATTTGCTAACAGATTTCTTTGCGTGGCCCTTGAAATATTGAACCATAAAGAACTTTTGTTCTTGTTGCGTGGCCCTTTAGCATTTGCTAACAGATTTATCTGCGTGGCCCTTGTAATGTCATGATTAAGTAAGCGACAATATTGAAACATGAAGAACCTTTGTTCTTATTGCGTGGCCCTTCAGTTCTTTTGACTGCATGGCCCTTGTCCAGGATTGACATACGTTATACCTGACGAAATTTTTTTTTTTTTTTTTTTTTTTTTTTTAGTTATAATAATCTCGTCAAGCAACCGTAGTACCCGGAAAGTTTGCACTTTCATGCGTTATTGACATTCTTTATGTGCGTGGCCCTTTTATTACTTGCTGTAATCAATGTGCGTGGCCCTTTGCATACTTGTAATTAATTTATTTCGTAATGTATGATTCATTTAGAAGTAAGTAAAGTCTTCCGACATTGTCATTTGTATCTATCTTCTAAACTGACTTGTTTTCTATAGCAAATTTATAGACGTCAATTGACAATGCACGGAGGTTAGTTTACTTTACTTTTTTTTTTTCTTTCCTTTTACCTGTTTATTTACTTCTTGGCACTCAAGTTCTTCTTCCTCGTCGCCACTTGTAATATTCGGGTATTCACAATAATCACACAAGTTTCAGGTACAAGTATACTTTATTTATTGTCCTTGCTGCTTTATGCGTACTGTCGTGCGTTACACACACTCACTCGCTCTACTGCGCATGCGCGTACACTACACACTGTTTTCGCCAAAGTTTTTTTCCGATGGCAGACCGAGACGAATGTTACCATTTGCTCGCCGTTATAATTCGAGCGCCAAGTCGAGAATAAATATGACGTAACAAAAAAATAAATAATAAATAAATAATAATAAATACCATAATTAATAAATAAATGCTAATAAATACCGACAACCTATGCGTGAAGAATTTTCGCTGTACTTAACGTTATTCTGACGCCCGTCGCTCTCGGTCTGAGATTCGTCCATTTAAATTTAAAAAATAAAATATGTGATATAATAAAAGGCCAACTTAACGAGCTTATATGCTATTAATTGAAAAATTTTATTTATTAATTTACGTCATACTATACAAAAGTTGGGATAAACGTTTCGACTGTACGACAGTCTTTCTCAATATCCTAATAATATGTTAAAAAATTAATTTAGTCATTTCGACATCATAAATAAATACAACAATTATAAGATTATATGACGAACGCAGTACAAATTCATGTTAGTTGGCATGAGTTAGAGCGTCAGATGCTGATAATATTATGTAACGACACTGTGAACAAATTAATATATCCGCTCAAATATTACATTTAGATTTTTAATAAATAGTATTAACTTACTTTTTTGTCAACGAACATAACACTTTTTTTAAAAATTATTTCTTTTTACTTAACATAATCACAATGTGTACTTTTTAAAAAACAAATCGATATCTGTATCTTACAATGTCGGCGCGCTGTATATATACCCAATTTTTAAGATGACGTAGACAATTTTTTTAGAATATCATAATAAGAACCGTCAAGACGCTCGGTGTCCTTTTTTAGGTTGATACTGTTGTTTTCTTCTTTGATATATATCATTTCTGATATCAACCTTTTATAATAATTCTTTTCATAATCTAGGATTTTTGTGTCGTTCCAATTGAAATTGTGTGTAAATTTTACAATATGATCAGAAACCACCGAGTGCCTTGCTGAATCCAATCTAATATTATTTTTATGTTCATTTACTCTTGTACCTAATTGTCTTTTCGTCTGTCCTACATATGTAGCATCACAATTATTACATGAAATCTTATATATGACCCCCGAATAATTCTAATAGTCATCTTAAAAATTGGGTATATATACAGCGCGCCGACATTGTAAGATACAGATATCGATTTGTTTTTTAAAAAAGTACACATTTTGATTATGTTAAGTAAAAAGAAATAATTTTTTAAAAAAAGTGTTATGTTCGTTGACAAAAAAGTAAGTTAATACTATTTATTAAAAATCTAAATGTAATATTTGAGCGGATATATTAATTTGTTCACAGTGTCGTTACATAATATTATCAGCATCTGACGCTCTAACTCATGCCAACTAACATGAATTTGTACTGCGTTCGTCATATAATCTTATAATTGTTGTATTTATTTATGATGTCGAAATGACTAAATTAATTTTTTAACATATTATTAGGATATTGAGAAAGACTGTCGTACAGTCGAAACGTTTATCCCAACTTTTGTATAGTATGACGTAAATTAATAAATAAAATTTTTCAATTAATAGCATATAAGCTCGTTAAGTTGGCCTTTTATTATATCACATATTTATTTTTTTTAATTTAAATGGACGAATCTCAGACCGAGAGCGACGGGCGTCAGAATAACGTTAAGTACAGCGAAAATTCTTCACGCATAGGTTGTCGGTATTTATTAGCATTTATTTATTACATTATTGGTATTTATTATTATTTATTTATTATTTATTTTTTTGTTACGTCATATTTATTCTCGACTTGGCGCTCGAATTTATAACGGCGAGCAAATGGTAACATTCGTCTCGGTCTGCCATCGGAAAAAAACTTTGGCGAAAACAGTGCATCACGCAAACGTATCGTGCTATCGGTATAGCACTGGCGGGGGAGTACTGTGGCGATTATATCGTCACATGCTTCCCCAAAAATCAAAAGCGAAAACACGTATATAAATACGGACATACACACATACGAACACTCACAAATAAACATAAATAAAATATAACAGACAAGACGAAAGACGAAAAACATCGAGACGTAACAGAAGGGAAATAAACGAATAGAACATTTTCGAAGCCTATCGAAGGTGAATTTTGTTAAGGCGAACGATAGGAAGAGCGTTTTACAGGCTAGAAGATTCCGCTACCGACAGTCGCCGCGTACAGTCGCACGTTATAAATCCGCACGATTTTTATATATTTCTGTACCGAGATGGAAAGATTGTTCTCAGAATATATTTGGTGTTAACTGTAAATACTCTCTCACAATTATTTTAATTCCTGTCTCGTATCGAAGCGCCTAAGTAATTCTACGCGCGTATAATCAAACTGGGATAACACTAAGATTATGGATCATGAAAAGAATTACCATAAAAGGCTAATATCTGAAATGATCCATATTAAAGAACAGAAAAATGGAATTAATTTAAACAAAGACACTGAATTGCTAGACAGTAGTTATTTTGACATATTTAAAAAATTAGCTGAATCATAGTTTAGAAAAACATGAGTAATAAACATATACATCACGCTCTCTACCTTGACATTTGTTATTTAGACTTCGCAACACACACTTGAAATTTCGAGAAGAATTTGTTAAAACGATAATGTAAGTTGAAAGATTTTTTAATTTTCTCTGATATTAATTTAATTCGCGTAAAATATCCACAGCATGATTAAATGTCGCAAAACTTGGAATCTCAGACCAATCGTCTTACTCATCCATTGTTCATCAGCGAAGAATCGTTAAATTTGTATTTTAATATTTGAGTTTTATGTATTGAAGAAGAGAGAGACTGTAGTGCAGTCGAAACGTTTACGTTGTATATTGTTTCTCTACTGGAATGAGAATTTAATTATTAATAAATCTTTAGATCTTATGTAATTTTGATCGTTTAGTTGGCCTACAATATTTATTTCTTTTAATTTCGTTAATCATTTATGTACATAATAAGTTTAATAATTTAATAGTTTATTGTTAATTATTAAATACATTGTAAATATATATATATTGGATGGAAAGGAGTCCGGATAACATTTCTCAAGCCATTGCTGGGCTTCTACGGTGTTTTTACCCATTAAAAAACAATGCTTTATCAACACGCGAAACTCGCTTTTTTCCATTTTTCAAACAAATTATGTTACAAAGTGACTTTGCTCTAACCTCAATAACTCAGCTGTTTGTGGTCCGATCGACGTGAAATTTTTACACGTTTCATGTGAAGGTTCGCACTCTAGGGAAACGTGGCCAGCTTGGTACTACTAGCACTATCTCTGGGTTAAGCGGGGAGCACACACTCTTGCATAAGCGCATAAACATATGCATAAGAAAGATTGGTTGAATTTCTTATGCATACGTTTATAGACCAATCAAGATTCTCATGTTTACGCTTATGCGCCTATGCAAAAGTGTGTGCTCCCCGCTTTAGTCTCGGAACTTATTGAACGATGTGTATATATACATATAACAGTTTATTGTATATTTATTTTGTTAAATCCCTAACAGCACACATATCTCGAGAACGTTCGGGAAACATCCTGAGGATGTTTGAATGTCCTCCAGATGTTCTTTGGATGTCTTTCAGATGTGTTGTGTGCTGTTAGGAATATTATAATTGTATAGTATTATTTTATATTATTTAAATTAAATTATTATTGTCAAATTAAATGAATATTATTATTATTATTATTATTTATAGTATTATCTTACATTTTAAATTTAAATAAATATATTTTACTAATGGATCATTAATTGAGTATTTGAATTTCGCGCCGGCATTTCTAGTTATTTTTCATTGGCTCAATACATATTACGTCACTACGCGTGACGTAATTACATGCGCAATGGTACTCTATTATTTACGTTGAACTCGTGAACGTCAACTAGTAGAGTAGCCAGTTAAAAAGAATGGATTTTATATTCGTCGAATGAAATATTTTTTTCGAAAAGTAAGCGGGTCAAACTAAACATTTGTTGAGAAATGTCTAAATCACTCGTGCACAAAAGCTTGGAATTATTAAACGAGAAAGATCTGCGTAAAGGTTAGTTTATTGAAAGACCGCGTGTCATACGTGTTCAAAAATAAACGTGATAGAAAAATATAATAATTTACATATAATAATTATGAAATACATGATTTTTATACTATATAATATAAAATAATTTGTAGAACAAAAGAAAAAGAAAAAACGTAAAGACGCCAGATATAAAGGAGTTTTGGATCTAATTCCCACTAAACACAGGATCGTCTCCAAACAACACGAGAAAACAGGTTAATCATCATGATAAATCCAAAACATCATTGGTCGAATTATCACTTTTCAGATAGTTTAAAGCTGGCTCCACAATCTAAAAAAAAATTTTTAAGTCCATAAAATTCACTGTTATGAAATATATATATATATATATATATATATATACACACACACACACGAAATATATAAGAATGTTTTAAACAAAAGTTGTAGTTTAAAAATCAACTTTAAAATCTTAAATAAAAACTCATTTTTTATTATATCATCTTCTACCAATTAATTGGAACAACTTTTGTCTGAAACATTTTTTCTAAAAATGCCTCCATTGACTGTGAAATGTATTTAAAATGAAAACTACTTTTGGAAATAGTTGACCTTGAGATTTTTTCATAACTGCTGTCAAGGTCAAATATATGTCGCCATTTCATATATTTGTTAACGCTCTACAACTTTTGTATAAAACATTTTTATCTATCACGCCCAGTTTTCAAAATATTTTGCATGTATGGATGGTCTCAGACACCCTGTATATATTATTATGAAACTTTATATATATGTTAGAGTAAATTATTTATTTACTGTTACATATATTTTACTACATTCCTATTATATTACTATATTAAATTATTTAATAATATAGATGACTAAAAATAAAATTCTTTTTTCTAGATTTTGATACAGTTTTGGCTCGATCTAACAAAACTACTCTTTATGAAACTCAGAAATGCATAGCTGCTCAACAAGATCCTACTGAAAAAAATGTGCAACGACTTCTTTCACTTAGCAAAAATCATCTAAATTCTGAAACAGCAAACAAAGTATGAGAAATCTCTTAATTATTTTATTAATCCTCTGTTGTTTGCACATCCATAAGATATCATTTTACTCAAATTTGTTATGCTTAGAACTGGAACTAAAAATACAATATTTTGAAACATCTCTGAATAATGATTTTTTTTTTAGTTATTGCATCGCGCCATCAAAAAAAGATACAGCCAACAACAGGAGAAACCTAAAGAATCAGAGCAGACGGCTTTCACTGAAGAGGACTTTAAGAAGTTTGAACAGGAATATTTGCAGACATAATTATTAACAAAAAATAGGACAATTGATTGGTAACATTTGCTTGCAGCAAATTGCAATCTACAATGCTTGATAGCGATCATCAGAAGGGAAAAGTAATCTTAATATTGGCATTCGTATTGTTTCTTTATTATACTGTCTGGGTGCTTGGTCTGCCATTTATCGACGACGACAGATTCAGACTTCTCTTCTATTCCCACGATCTAGCTCTGATGGTTCCCGCGAGCCTCGGACTATTTTTCATCGGCGGTTTAATACTCTTCACTATATACCATGTGAAACCATATTTGTCCTTATGTAAGACAGAAAAGATGGAGTAACAATTTTAATAGAAAATTGATGTTGGCAAATAACTGCGTTATCATCACGATACGTCGTAACTCACACATACATCTAAGACTCACGTGATATGAAACATGTGATAATAAGTATCTGTTACGTAATGCTATATCATTCCGCATTTGCTCTAAATATTTTTCATATATGTCGAGTGATACAAAAATGAAACAGTGGCTGGTCATCGGTATATCCGGGGCGACCTGTAGCGGAAAGAGCACCTTAGCTAATAAAATCCGCGACAGTTTTTCAGGATCTATTATGGTGCATCAAGACGACTATTTCTTGCCATCGAGCGATCCACGTCATGTTAAGATACAGGAGTTGAATCATTTGAATTGGGACCTGATAACGAGTCTGGATATGCAGAGAATGCATTCCGACGTTTTGAAGATACTTCAGTCTTGTGAAAAGAAGGATGCTATGGCTTCGAAGAAGACGATTTTGATACTGGACGGTTTCTTGCTCTTCCAAAACGAAGATATCACGAATCTGTGTGATCTTAAGTATTTTTTGACGCTGTCGAAGGAACAATGTTGGGAGCGAAGAAAAAATCGTACGTACGATCCACCCGATGTACCTGGATACTTCGACAAGGTGGTATGGCCTGAATATGTAAAATACAAAAATGAAGTTACCCAGAAAAGCGAGTTGCATGAGACTGTAAAGTTTATCGATGGATCCAAGAATATGGAAGAAATTTATGAGACGGTTTCCCAGGAAATCAATCGATCGTTATCTTAAAACTGTACCTCAATACAACCGCTTTATGTAATAACGATGAAATTTTCATTAATTAAATAAGTATTATTAATTTAAAATGAGATTTTTTGTACACATCCCGAAAATAAATGAAAATTGTAGAGATTTCATATTATGAAGATGTACTATTGCAAATTGAGAATTAATTTTCGTAATTGGAGTATGTATATATGTGCATTATTTATATATATATATATATATATATATATTAATTATAACAAAATCTGTTTCGAACGCATTGTAAATAAACTAGCAATTTCAAATTATTTATATAAAAAAACTCCATTATTTTATTATTTTTATTAATAAAAATATACCTTAATTTAATAAAAATATAATTTGTGAAAATTTAATTTTAACTTTTTTTACTTTAAAAAATTCTGATATAAATAACTAATATTCGAGATTGATTATGAATAAAAAAATTATTTTTTGTAGTATTGTAAATTAACTCATAACTATTATTTATAAATATTTCTACAAACAAAGCGACACGTCGAATGCAAAAATATTTCTCTGTAATTATACAAGTCGACAAAAAATTTGTCAAGTAACTCTAATAAAAAAATAGATGTTATTTATGAATTTTCGGCTACAAAAGAAATTAAAATATTTTTTCATATTGAAATTTAATAAAATTGTTTTGATTCGGAAAATTTATTCCAGTTATTTTAGAATTGTATTTTTTTTCAAATATTTTTAATAAAAAATTACTATACATATATTAAACTACAAAAACAATGCTGTTCCAAGGCTCCATCACGTCAAGTTTTAGTTATTTTGAATTTTAAGATAAAAAATTAGCGAAAAATGTTTGAAAAAAATATAATTCTAAAATGATTAAGACAAATTTTTCAATATCAAAGAAGTTTTATCAAATTCCAATAAAAAAATATTTTAATTTAAAAAAATTATTTAAATTGTTTTTAATTTTTGTTTTACTAAGTCACATTAAAATTTCGACATTTTTATAGCAAAAAATGTATTTAGAATGAACATATTTATTATATTTTTTCCTCTAAATCGCTAATGTTAGATTGTGACGTCAGAGGCGAGAAAGCACACGCTGAAAATTCTTAGATACCATTTTTAAATGAAAAAATATTTCGATGAAATACTATTTCAGATGGTTTCAGCAAACTTTTAAAATACCTCTAAAACTTTTTTTCTCTTGTCAATCAACCGTGAAATGATCGTGATATCAAATTTTGTCAAAATGACTGCACATGTGCAAAAACCAGACGAACTGGACCTCATTATAGTTATTTTACAGCTGTTGATTGATTAAAAAGTGAGTGTGCTAAAGCCATCTGAAGTGCTATTTCATCGAAGTATCTTCTTATTTCGAATTGGCATCTAAGAATTTATAGCGTGTGCTTTCTCGCCTCAATCTAACATGACTGTAGCAAAAGGATCCAGGAACCATAAAATTCAAAATAACATTAAAACCTGATGTGATGGAGCAATTTGGACAGCGGCATTATTTTTTGTATACAAAATCTACAAGAAACACTCTGATTAAAGTTACTTGACAAACAATTTTTTGTCAGCCTGCATTATTATTATTATCCGAAAAAACGGGCTTTCATATATTGAAGTTTCAACTCTCAACAAGATTTCCCATGATTTCTTGTAATTTTTTAATAAAGATAACACACAACGACATATATATGTTACATAGAATAGGTGTTCTGTTTAATTTGACCTTGTGCATTCGTAACGTTCGTTGGTGCAGATCCGGCGGCTTGATCATCCTGATCGTTCTGTCCGCAAGCCTTGCGGACATATTGCGGCGTAAGAACGACCTCCTCTTCCATTTCAAGCACCCGCTTGTCTAATTCTGTGCACGCTGCCATTTCCCTCTCAAAGTTCGCCAACATCTGGGGCGAGTTGTATTTCTCAGGATCATCGTGAAACACTACCATACCATCCTTCTGATTAATAGTCGCAAAGATTTCGCCGTCCTCGATCTGAAAATATATGAAAATCCCGATAAGAATGAGCAAATATTTTAATTATTTAATTTATACAAATTCTTAAGATCCATTTTTGTGCACACTTTTGTTTTTACTGATTGAATAGAATAATATGTAGAAACAAAGCCTAAATTAATTTTAAAAATTAATTTTTTTTATTTTTCTATATATACTTTAATCGCGGAAAAGTATTTATTAATCTATTCAATTACTAATAAAAAAAAAGCGTGCAAAACATGATTATTTTGTCAGTAAAATAGGACGACTTCAGGATCATTTTAAGGACAAACTCTTTGATTTGTTAGAATTTTTTTTTTTTTTAACAAAACTAAATAAAAATGAATCTCAGTTATATATTAAAAAGATAGAGATGGTAAAAAGTGAAGCTTCAGACCTGTTAAAAAAAATAATAAAATCTTATTTCAAATAAGTTTATTGATTTTATCTTCGCTGCACAAAACCAATGTGCCAAATTTATCGAAATATTTTTGTATTTATGTATTATTATAGGATTTTTCATCAGAGTATCTATTCAAATTTTGTAAAAAAATTCCCTAATCTTTCAGATTTTTTCGTTTAAAATTCCAGATAAAATCAGAAAACTTTATTTTTTAAAAACAAAAATTGTCAATAAAATCACGAGTTAAATATTGCAAAAATATGTTTCTCAGAAGAGTAAAGTTATCAAAGACAATTTTTGAACAAATTTTTCAAGTCTCAATAAAATTCTGAGAATTCTTGGATTTTTTCAAGCTAAAAAAATTCCTAACAATTTTCGATTTTCCAGAAAATCACGAAACTCACCATACTTAAGATATACTTTTCCGCTTCGGTGGGACCAGACAGCTGAACTCTGCTCGCGACATCACTTAAGCTAAGCGTGAGGAAAGTCTTGGTCAACCTTTGTATATTCTTCTTGTACAAGAAGGCAAGCACCTGTTTTACGAGCCCCAAATTGTGATCCCTCACGAACACTTGCTGATACTTAGTGATAATGTTCTGCACCTCCTCGCAGCTGTTAACCAGATAGGCTGTAGCCAATTCCTGATACTGCTGGCTCAGCGGCTTGATGTATCTGTTGATCACCTGGCTCGTGTACCTCGGCAGGCTCAACACCTTTCCGTGCAATATCAGCGAAATTAGAATGTATTTTTTATATGCCTCCAGCATGATGTAGCTGACGGCCATCGCGGGCGTTGTCACGCATACTTCGAAAAAATACAATGCCCGATCGTAATTCTTCAGCACCGTATATATCATGCCGCCGTAATAATAGTACAGTAGAAAATATTTCGAATCGAACTGGCCTCCCTCCTGACTAATGCTCGTGATATCCACGTCGAGGAATTCCAGCGCCGGCTTGAAGCACTTGGACACAAGACATAACAGACAAAGATCAGCATGTATCGAGGTCAGCTGGCTTTCGAACAATCGTATTTTGCGTATCGCGCGACGCAACAAATCGATTCCTCGTAACGGGGTCTTCAGCTCCATCAAGCTCTGTGTGAACAGGTGACATAACTCCGCATCTGTAATACATATTTTATTAACGTCACGTATAACAATAAAGAATAAAAAAGAGCCGAAACGTTCGCCATCACGTTTACATCAATGTATCTACTTTAATATTAAATTTTGATGAAATATATTACTTTTATATTTGTTTCATTTTATTATAATAATTTTACGCCTTAACAATTGCAATGTTGCTCTCATTTCCAGATCTTATGAAGATCAATTTAGTTAAATTTAAGTAGAGCTATAATTGATTGCTCATCAATCTAAATTTATGTATAAAGAATAATAAATATGATTAGATAATAAATAGACACTAAAATTAATTTTCAATTTTGGAAGCTTTGTAGTTGAATTCTGCGAATATTTTCCAAATATACATATTTAAAAAATTATTTGTTTTTCATAAAATCAAGGACTCTGTGTTTAATATAAATCCATGAAAAAGCTTCTTAATGTAATATACCTGATCGCAGTTACATTTAATTATATAAGAATTACAAAATGACAATCAAGCAAATTTGCAAAACAGATTTAACATGTAATATACCTGATTACAGTTACATATTATGTAAGAATTACAACATAACGATCAAGCAAGTTTGTAAAAAAGATTTGACATACTTACACATATCTGGCGCAAATCTAACTTGCTCCCCATTACATCCGATAATGAACTCCTGAACCTGACTGAACAAAACTTTGTGCGCATCTGGGTTATTCCCATTGGAATTGGGCAATGAAAACTTTGCACAAAGCACCGCCAAGATACCTAAGGAGTGCTGTTGCAGCTCTAACGTTTCCAAAACATTATCCAAATGCTGTCCATTCTTCGTTAATACTTCGGAACTTTTGCTTATGATGTCATACAACTCCCTGAAATTGCCTGCAACATACATAATGTTAGAAAGCTTTGTTACACGATTGGTTGTCAAATAAAAAATTGTTGTTAAAAACATATAAGCTTGATACTCCAAAAAATCCATCATTCAGAGTCTAAATATTTTCAATTAATATGAAATAATGTAAAATATGAAATAATGACGCGTAAAATCTGAGAAACTTAATTTTTTTAAGAAGAACGAGGAGTGATTTTTTAAAATGAAAATATTTAACATCACCCAATTTTTTTGTTTTTTTACATATCCAATTCTTTTGTCTTTATTTAGAAAATCTCACGCGTCATCGTGCGATTTCTGTTCCTTTACACATCCTCCGTTGAGGTTAGGTTGAGGTTAGCAAAATCGCGAGGATTTTCGCGAAAGCAGGGAAGAATCGAGGATTCGTACCTTGCTTAGAGAGCGTCCGAACGTTATTTACATATTGCTCCAATGCCGATGCCATTATTGCAACGGGTGCTTCCTTGTCATCACCTACGAGGTTCAGCCTCGGGCCTTCGGGCCTCGTCTTCTTATTTACAGAGATGACAAAAATCGTACAAGCGAACACTCGACCAACGAGACGTACGCGTTTTTAAACGAGGGGGATGGGGGATGCAGAGAAGAGGGTGGAATTTCAAGGTCTCTCTCTCTCTCTCCCTCACGCATGCGCACGAAGAGCTCGACCAATCACGTGTCGAATAGAGACCTTGTTGGTTGATTATTGTATATGGCTAACTTCAGATTTCTCTCTTTACGCAAACGCGCGATCGGTTCTTTATTGTATATCTAAACACATTTTTATATACTCTCAGTGTAAACGTTTTTTTTTAATGATTTTATATATTTTTTCATTATTTTATTTTTTGTGGATTTGTTATATTTTATATGTATATATAGTTGGCGAATCAACTTTTCGAATTGATCTGAACGCTCTCGCGCGACTAAAGCGCAAAGTTTGAAAGACAAGTAATAAATTGTAACGAATATAAGGAGACAATATCATTTAAAATAAAAAATTTAAATTATTACATTAAAATTGTTCAAAAATTATGTTATACATTCAAAACAAAATTACAATTACAAAAAGACATATATTTTAAACTTTATTTAAATATTGATTTTATAGTATTTCTGTATTATAACATAAAAAAGATTAATTAAAATAAAACATATGAAGGAAAGAGAAAAAATAATAAAATGAAAAAAGTGACATTTGTATTCATTTTTTCTCGACTCAATTTTTTATTGATATATGTTATTTGGAATACATTTTATATTTAAGTAAAAATAATAATTAAGTATTATAGTAGACTTTTCGAAATGAGTGCTTATTAATTTTATAAATATAAATTTTTAATAAATATCGAAGTAAAATATCGAAATAAAAATCGAAGGAGTCTCGTTGTGGAAAAAAAAGAATTTCAGTTAAAATTGACTAAAACACTATTAAAAAATTTTTTTTAATTATTTCAATATTTTATTTAAAAAATACATTCAAAAACGAAAAAAATGACCACCTTATTAATGACAGTATATTCATTTTTCTTCAAGTTATAAATATTTGAAATTTTTTTAATTTTTAAAAATCAATATTTTTAAAAATATATAACTCGGAAATTAATGAAGATAAAAAATCTGAAAAAATTCATGAAAGCTACTTTTAATAGATACAAAAAAATAAAAAAATGAAGCAAATAAAAAATGGTTGGGGAAAAAAGTCGTTGATTTGGCATGGAATGCTCCATATGTATAATACATAAGCGGTCTTAAAAATAATATTATCTGAAAGTTATTTAGACAAATCGTCATATAATTTTATCTTTTATCTAGATATATTTCAAACAAAATCATTTTTACTTTATCCAAGATGGATTGATCTTATCTCTATGGTATCTAGCTAATTTTGAAATCATCTAAACACGAAACTGCAGATAACCATCAATCAGTTCTCAAAATATTGATTTCTAGAGGGGATTTCTTTTTGAATTCTGTTTCATCCATTTTCAACTTTCTCTTCAATGGCCTTTTTCCAATAAAAGTCTAATTCCAACCCTAACAGCACACATATCTTGTAGACGTTCAAAGAACATCCTGAGAATATTCGAATGACCTCTGGATATCCTCTGAATGTCTTTCCAATTATGATGTGCTATTAGGGAACTTTATATCCTCCCTTTGTTCCTCCCTATAAGATTTCTACCCGATGAGGTCATCATCGTATATAGTTGCCAGGTAACCGCGACAATCGATTGTTAGCCGTAGCTATGAGAATCGCGGACAGAGGCCCGATACAAATTTCGACAAGTGTTTTCGAACGTCAAGCATTCGTCAAAGAAAAATGTCGAGCGCGACATACGACGAGCTCTGGAGGGAAGCCCAGACGTTGCTCGCGGAGACGGTGCAGACGGACACGGTGCTCCAGGGCGCGAAGCCGCAAAAGGATCGCAAGAAGGCTCACGACGCCGTCTCGACCTTGTACGTCCGCTACATCCTCATCTGCAACAAGCTCGAGCGGTGTTACGATCAGGTGATACAGCCGCAGAAGCGTCTGCTGCTCGAGAGATCGCTGAACGCAAGTCTGGGCAGGGTGTTGGAGCTTAAACACGACCTGGTCAATGTTGACCTGTCGGAACACAACTATTACGACGACGCGTTGCTCGAGTGCGGCGTGACGCCGCAGGAGGCCGAGATCCAGGTGCCGAGGTACTACAGACGCGGGCGAATCGCGGAAATCGAGGAGAGACGGAAGTTCATCGAGGACACCCTTCGAAATCTGGGCGCGCTTCACGAGGCCGTAGTCCCAAAAAAGATCACCGAGTCGCAAGCTATACGACTTATTCAGGTATTACGAAAATTTCATGGTTTTCTTATATGTTGCAGCTTTTGACTTACTGAATGAAAAAAGGAATTATCTTAAAGCTATAAACAATAATACTCGCAAAACCCAAGTCTTTGATTGGCTGTAAATCAGTACCTATACTTGTTCATTATTTAGCTTTCAGTCTATTATATTTTTTTGTTCAGACATTCACAACGTATGAGAAAACTAGCTGGTTTCATCAGGATCCAACTTAAGAGTTCTGGGATTATAGGATTTAGAAGTTTTTTTTGGTAATTTACACATTATGCATGTCGTTCATAAATTTAATACTCCAGGCCCACGAACGAGCAAGACAAGGTAGATTGCGGTATCAGTTTATGAAAGAAATCCGTGAGATGAAAGAAAGATCGACTACTAAACCAGAAGTTGCTGAGCAGGATGAAGCGACCGAAAAGCTCGCAGCGCAGAAAATTCAAAAGATGTGGAAAGGCTATATCACCAGATGCCACGTTCGCAAGAGACGCCTCGAGGAGATGCTGTTGATAGGTAACAAATAATTTCAATTTATTAAATTTTAATCATTTATTTTTCTACTTAAAATATAATCTAATCTGGTCTTTCTTTCTTTTGAAAAAAAGAGAAAAAAAATAAATATATTACAATGAGGGAAATTCTTTAGTGAGATTTGTGTCTTTAGTGAGATTTGTATCTTTAGTGACATTTTGTAAAAATAATATAGTTTTGTAGATATACAAACAGAGATGTGCATTATTTAAAATAAATGTATTTAAAATGGAAATACAAAATGTGAAATGCATATTTTGCATTTTGCAACTATTTTGCATTTTTTTTTTATTTTAAATGGGTTTGGACACTACCATCTGAACATTTTGGACATTTTGTATTTCATCTCTGTACACAATAAGCGACAATTCTAATCTTATCTGATACCTTTGAAAGCATTAATTGTTTCAATAAAGAGAAGCAAACATATATTTATTGGTTGTTTTATTTTAATATTTTATTAACATATATAATATATTAACACGCTGAGTGTTTAAACAAGGAATGCTGCAGCCTAGTCAAACGATTACGGAAAATGTCAGACGAGCGGAGAAATTGAAGCAGCAAAGGTACGAGAAGCAATTGGATTTTCAGCAACAATACCAAGATCTAATACTGGAAGCGAAAGAGAGAATACGTAAGGAGAAGAGCGCCATAATGGAGGAAAATATCAGGAGCGAAATTCGAAATTGGATCGACACTTATTTCCAACAAACCGGGAAAATACCCGATTTACCATCCGCCGAGAGCGGTGGTTCGCGCATGATTTTCAGCAGACAGGTAACGTCATTTTCACATCAAATGATGTCGTTAGACGGCAAAATAACATCATTAGATGTCAAAAGAATCGCGTTCAGCAGAACAAACTGCTTATTGTTAGTAGCGTAAATTGGTTTTTGCTTTAAGAACCAACAGTTGTCAAATAGCTACTTTTAAATTGATGATGATGTCAACTTATGGTTTTGAAAGTGTTGTACTTCTTATAAATGTTTTTTGAATCTTATACAACTGATTGATTAAATTACTACCATTCTTATACAACTGTTTTATGGCTGATTTAAATCAATTTTGCTGCAACGTTTCATGAACTATTGCCTTGTTTAGGGAACTGAAAGTACCGTGAGCAAATCCACGGCGGTGTCATCGAAGGAATCGAAGAAATCGAAACGTTCGAAATCGAAGAAAGATAGCGAAACGGAACAGTCGGAGGACGAGACAGATCTGGGATTTAAATCGGTTCCTTCCAACTTCCTACCGGAATTGATACAAGCAAATCAGGAGTATCAGGACGTTTGGAGGGACAAAGATGAATCTACAAACCCGATGCAACTACCTTATCGCGACATGATAGAAGCTGAGAAGACGAGGGAAGTTGAAGACGAAGTCAGAACAGTTGTGGATCAGGCGATAAGAAGTAGGTATAGATAGATGGGTGATAAAAAAGGAACTGATAATTCTTCGAATCATATTTACGAAGATTAAAATAGCGAGAAAGAAAATCTCGATTCGATCTAAATAAATTGATTTTACATCTATTTGTTTTTTTGCTTCATTTTGAAAGCAAGTATTCAAATTACTGTAGCATGAAAAATATGCAATACTTAACATAACAACTCCCTCGTTTTTTTTTCTGCCGTGTCGATTCAAAATATTACGAAAGATATATAGAGAAGAATTATTATAAAGAATATTATGTAAGATTATTAAGAACGGATTTGCCAAGACCCGCATGATTGCTGATAAGGCAATGTTACAATTAGACGATATAGAGGCTCTTCAGGCTGCGTTGGACAGAGACAGAGGATTCAAGGGAAAACGGGCGAAGAAACCGCAAAAACGTCTTCGTAGAAGCGGAAAGAAAAATAAAAGGAAGAAAGAGAAAGATCTAACGCCCGACAGAACGACCGAGTCTCTTTTCGAGGAACTTCTCACGCAGGGTATTATTAAGTTACATCGCGAGGTTTCCCTGGACGAGTTTAAGGGCGAAAAGTCATTCGCGAACTACGATCTTCGTATGAAAGAGAAAGATCCTCTTCCAGCACTTGGTACATTTGATATTAATTATTCTTCTTCTCTAAAACTTGAAAGATTATGATGACGCACCTATACAGAGTAGTGTAAAAAACATGTACTTTATTTTTTATCCTTCTCAATATAAATACTTTACAACAAATAAAAGTTTCCTACGACGTCTTTTTTCACTGAAAAAAACTGCTTTCTAAGAATTTGAAAGAAACAAACTTTGAAATAGTTCTGAATCAATTTGAAATACACGCTTTATAACGATTAATCGAATTGTACCAGGTGATATAAGGCAATTGATTGCCGAGTACTGCATACTTCCGATGGGTAATCAAGTCCTGAGAGAATTTACACCACTTATACGATCTGTTCTGATAGCCGGTCCCCATGGTAGCGGCAAAAAGTTGCTGGTAAACGCGATCTGTACGGAACTCGGAGCTACGCTCTTCGACATCACGCCGGCAAACATAGCTGGCAAATATCCCGGTAAATCGGGATTGATCATGCTCGTCCATTTAATCTCGAAGGTTTGTATCAGGGCCAGACATATAGAAAGTTCCCCGCACTACAATCTTATATAAAATGGATTTTTCGGTTCAATTAGTTGATTTTTTCATATATACAGGATTGGATAATAACTAATTAATTAGTTAAAAGTTAAAAAGTTAATAACTTTTAATTTAGCTTAGTTAATTTAAAATGTATTAACTTTTAACTTCAACTAGTTATTTTTTGTTTACATTACTACTTTATTCGTTAATCTTAATTATTTTTTGTTCAATAGATCAAGTTTTAACATATGTAAAAATCAGCAGATTTTGTTAAGATTTTATTTTATATAAAATTTTATAATTATATTATCATTTATATAAAATTAGTGCAGAATTTTTTAATTTATATAAAATCCTAAATGAAATTAAGTCCCAATAAAATCAGCTGATTTGCTCATAGCTTATGATCTACTAAACAAAAAATATATAATAGGCTCAAAGCTAAATAATAGACAATTTACTGATTTACAATCAATTAAACATGAAAAACTCGAACTTTGCGAGCTGTAACTCAATAATTATCCACTATTTAGCTTTGAGGCTATTAAATTTTTTGTTTAGCAGATCATAAATTACAATATATAAAAAATCCATTTCACATAAGAATTAGTGTGGGATACTTTATTCGATTAAACTCAAACTTGGGATTGTTTATTATCTTAGAATAATTATCTTAGAAAATATTTGACATTTTTCTCGTCACTTGATTCACATAAGCATTTATTCAGATAGTCTAATTATTATCCACAAGGTGAAGATATAAAGTTATGACGAAATGGATGTATGATATAACAGAGATGCTCTTATGAACATGGACTTCTTGGAACGTGGAAATTTGTGAAATTAAGTAACAATATTGAATATAAACTTCGGATTATTTATTATCTTAGAATAATTATCTTAGAAAATATTTGACATTTTTCTCGTTACTTGATTCACGTAAGCATTTATTCAGATAATTTAATTATTATCCACAAAATGAAGATATAAAGTTATGACGAAATGGATGTATGATATAACAAAGATGCTTTTATGTGAACATGGACTTCTTGGAACGTGGAAATTTGTGAAATTAAGTAACAATATTGAGTAAAGTTTAAACAAAAAGAAGAAAACTCGCGAATTTCTTCGTTATTTTCACCTATTTGTAAAAAGTTCACAAGTTTCAAAAAATTCAGTCTTTATATTATACTATAGAGCAAAGATTCAGCTTTAAGAATCCATTCTTAAAATTGCTGTACGATAATTTTTAACAGAGTTGTGAACGATTAAGGTAAAAATGGCATTTTCTCTTGAATTTGCAATAACTTGATAAGGAAAGATCAGAGTTTTAAAAAAAATAATTTTGCAGGGAAAACTTCAGGCTTTAATGAAAATGTCAAAAAATTTTTTCAAATCTTGTGTATATGACATGTCTACAAAGTGAGAAGGAAATTTTCCATTTCGTATGTTCGTCATTTTTTGTATGTAAAAAATATCAAAATTGAAAAAAAATAAAAGAAGCTATGATCTTTCGAAAGTAGAGATATCAAGCTTTACCTTGAGCAAAAACTTTTTTAAAATTTAAATTATCATTTTTCGAAACAAAGCTACAGCTATTTAAAATTTGCCTATTTTTTAGACAATTTTTTGATCTCTTAATTTTGAAGAGTGTATTTAAGCAATTATTTCATCAGCCATCGCACATATTATATAACATTGGACAAATTTCTATCGATATTAAGGTATCACGATTGCTGCAGCCGTCAGTGATTTTTATGGATGATGCGGAAAAACCGTATGTAAAGAAAGTACCAAAAACGGATAAGACCGATCCGAAACGTTTGAGGAAAGATCTACCGAAACTGGTCAAGAATATCACAGGCGAGGACAGCGTTCTGCTCGTCGGGACATCCAGCAAACCTTGGGACGGCGATCAGAAACTCTTATTTCAGACCTACGACAAAGTAATCTACATTCCTAGACCGGACTATGGCACTGTGTCTCTCATATGGAAGCATCTATTGTACAAAGTGAGTAAAAAAATATGCGACACAAACAGGAATTGATTGCAAGAATTATCATTTTATGATATATAAAATATTATGTCTCTCTTTTAGGCAAAAATTATTTATTTTAATAATAAAAATTAATCAATTATATTATTTATATATTTTTTTTTACATTTTAAGATATATTTTATATTTCTGTTATTCAATACTCGTATTCCTATTTTCGTTTATGAATAATTATAATTAGGAAAATATCGAATAATTGTGAAAAAAAAGATTTATGTTAAAAATTAATAATTTATATTTACATATCTCTTATCACATTTTTTTCTAGTACTCGGGTATTAATCGTCAGTTTGATACATCGGCTATGGCTAAAGCGTGCGACGGTTTCACCATCGGCACCATTTTAGCAACGATTAACGAGGTAGATAATTAGAATTACAAATCTTGACTTTACAATATCTAGAGATATCTAGGGTAAGATACATTTAAAATGTATCTAGATACAAATACAAATTAAAATGTATATATATAGATACAGATACTCAGCAGATATTTTAAAAGTATCACAGATAGATATCAGATATTTTTAAATTATATTTTAATAATTAATAGTAATACATGCACGCAAAGTATACTGAATAAATCTCTCTTTTAATTATTATTTTTTTATTTATACCTAACACTGACAATATCTAATTACTAATTTTAATTAATGATATCAAATAATACTTATATTCGCTCGTATATTGTTAACAACAAGAAACTTATTTAAAGATCAACGTAACGAGCACTTATTAAGGTGATATAAAATAAACAATTTATTCAATCTATATTAATTAATGATATTATTTATTAATTATTTTTATTATTAATTATTATTGTTACTTATAATTTATTACTATTTTTATTATTTTTATTTATTATATTTTTATTATTTTATTAATTTTTTTATTTAATTTTTTAAATTTTTAATTTTATTTAATTTTTTTATTTAATTATTATTATATTATACTATATATATTATGCAGGTGATGACTACAAAACGTATGGTACAACTGCGAACACATCCTTTAACACATGCCGAATTAGTGAACGCGTTGAGTTTCAAGGATCCGGTGTATCGCGAAGAGGAAGATGCATTTTTAGGTTTATAACAATACACGTGTTATTTATCGTCCAAAACACGTGTTATTTATCGTCCAAAGATGTCTTAAATTATTTATTTATATAATTTCAATTTTCCAATTATTGCTTATATCGAAGTAATTTGTTAAAATAAATATACACAATTATAAATTATGATTATTAATATAATAATCTGTTAATTATACATTATGTATATTTAATGTATATATATTCCACAAAACTATATTTTACTTTCAAGACTTTTAGCAACTTTAAATTTGTAATTTGACCTTTTCAGCCTGGTTTTCCAAGACGCCAACCTGTCGACGAAAACAAAAGGCTCTTGAATTGGAACTGGAGAAATTGGACGAAGCAAATGACTCGCAAAAAAAGAAGAAGGGAAAATAATAAATATAAAAATCTCGTGTAATAATAAGATTTTGTATTTCATATACAATATACAATAATATACGAGGGCAGTCCGATAAGTACTTAGCCTCATCGCCCGATGGTGCCAGTATCGCCAGAGAGTTTTACTATCGTGTAGTACATTCTCGCGTAGACGGCTACTGTCAAAATTTCAGCCGAATCGGACTCGTAGTTTTGTTTTGACCGCGTGTGGAAGCGGGCGTGTCCGCGGATTTTAGAAAAATGGAAAAAGAGCAATATCGGTCGGTGATTCGATTCTTGTTTTTGGAAGGGAAATCGCGCAGCGAAATCAAAAATTCTTCATTTCGACATCTTTGATTTCGCTGCGCGATTTCCCTTCCAAAAACAAGAATCGAATCACCGACCGATATTGCTCTTTTTCCATTATTCTAAAATCCGCGGACACGCCTGCTTCCACACACGGTCAAAACAAAACTATGAGTCCGATTCGGCTGAAATTTTAACAGTAGCCGTCTACGAGAATGTACTACACGATAGTAAAACTCTCTTGCGATACTGGTACCATCGGGCGATGAGGCTAAGTACTTATCGGCTGCCCTCGTACGTATATTGTTGATTCGATGTCTTTTCACGATCGGATGTCAGTAGAGGCGGAAAGGAAGGGGAAGTAAAGAATGGAAAAAAATAATTTTGGCGTACTATTCTTTTCTTGTAAACACATTTAAATGCAAATTTACTACTGTGTAAAACAACAGAGTTATTATTTAATGTTAAGTAGTAAGAGACACTTCCGTTGAATAATTAATATATATATATATATATTAAGAAGAATAATATTTTTAATGCATTTTTAATTAAAGCATGTTTATTTAAGAAGAATAATATTTTTAATGCACTTTTAATGCATTATTTTATTTTAATAAAAGTGCAATATTTTTTAATGCATTTTTAATGCAATATTATGTGTGTATATATATATATATATATATATATATATATATAACATTTATTATTTACATTTTTATTATTACAACAATTGTTGCACCTATGCAATCTTGAAATAAAAACAATGCATTAAAAATATTATTCTTTTTATGCAAGTCTATATTTTACATTATTTATTATTGCATTATTATATACATACGTTTATTAATTATATAAATTCATTTTCAATTATTTTGATGTGTGAAAAAATAGAGATTATATTTTCCGTTTAGATCATTCATTTTGCAGTGCACTCCGACGAAGTACCTATCTGATGAATTTATACAAAAATCATGTGCACATGATCGTTGTATATGTCATAGGTCAAAGCGTGACCAAAGCTATTACGCCACATGATTACGATTTTTCGATATAAACAGCCGATTCATATAAATCTACGAGTATATATACATATAAAATTTATTAAAAATATTATTTCTTATAAAAATTTCTTTTTGCTAAATTCTTTTCTAAAATAAAATGTATCATTCTCCGCTATACAGAGTATCCCAGAACTAGCGGAAAAGTTTTTAATGGCAGATTCCTAGTATCATTTAGAGATGATTTTTCCTTAGTGAAAATATTGAGGAAGGTCATCATTTTTAGCATGTTCCTAATTTTTGTTATTAAGTAGCTTTATAACTAAGCCTTATATTAAAATTCTATTAAAGCAAACTACCTAAAATTAACTAAAGAATGTAGTTCTGTTAATATTTAATTTTCACAAGGCTTAGTTTCCAAAAAAGCCTTTATTTTCAACTACTTATAATTCGAAAATGATTAATGTCTCGACATTTTCGCTGAGGAAAAATCGTCTCCGAATGATACTAGGAATCTGCCATTAAAAACGTTTCCGCCAGTTCTGGGACACCCTGTATATATGAAAAAAGAAAACGGTGAAATTCTACTATATGAAAAAAATTATTTTCTAGAAAATATACGTATTTTGGATAGCAAGAAACCTTTAATTTCTTTTACCACCGACGTAGCATATTTTTGTTTAATCGCATATGACATTTATGATGATATCTGTTAATTTATAAATAAACTGAATGGTGATTAGCTCGTATAAAGCAAGACAGATCGGCACATAATTTCTCATTCTCGTCGTCGCGTTCACGTGATATTGCGTGACAGAACATACGAGACTGCATGCCGAATAATCGATTATCTCTCTGTTGCGACTATGGATGCTTCCCTGAGAAAGACGTGCATGTAAACGTTGTTTTTGATTAGCACAAGTGTAATTCGCCTCGTCATCGCTCGCACACACGGTGCTAAACAGGATGAGCCTCCTGTTTGGCTTGGGACGATATGCTACACAAAGGTCTCGTTAAGCCCGACAATTAGTTATCTCGTGTACTTTCTTCGGCGTTGAAATTAGGCTGTCGCCTTAGTCGAGGCTATTGTTGCTGTTGGAAAGGAGCCCGTTGAAATTGCAAAATTACCTTACCGCTATTCGACAAAATTTCATTCTTCTTTTTATACGTGTCTGAAGCGTAAATATATGATTCTGAACCCTCTCTTGTGGTCCTTCAGTTCCAAAAATGACAAATGAAATAATATTATTTCTGGATCTTCTCATAATGTAAGATTCAGAATTAGGTAATAACTATATATATAGTTGATTAGTTAAAAGTTAAAAAGTTAATAACTTTTAACTTAGCTTAGTTACCTTAAAATGTATTAATTTTTAACTTTAACTATAGTTATTTTTGAAACTTATTAACTTTTTCCTAAGTTACATTTTTTTATCTCTGAAGTTGTTTTATATAAGTGATAAATGTATTATTTTGAAATTAAAGTATTATTAATTTTTATGTTCATTTGTCATTAATTGTAATTATCAAAAAATATATTTCTATATAAAAATTAAAATTTCTTTGTTATTATAAATTTTAAAAGAATTAACAAATAAAAATCTAAGTTAATATAAATAATGTTTTTAAAAATTAACTTTTGATTTAACTTTCGTTAATTTAATTTTCATTCAATTTTATAACTGAGTTAATTTTTGTTTATGCAATTTTTAATTAAATTAATTTTATAAGCAACTAATTTTAACTTAACTTATTGTTAATTTTTAAAAATCATTAACTTACGCAACCCTGTCAGATATAAATAGATATAAAATAAATATAAAATATAGAGATGAGAATAAAATAAATATAAAATAGAAATAATTTTAATAAGAGAAAAGACGAAAAAATAATTAAAATTGAAATGCTAAAGTTGCTATATATGCGAAACAGATTTATGATAATGATTTTAATACTTTTATTCATTCAAAACATATTATTTGTTTTCATAATAGGACAACATATTTGTGCCTTATATATATCCTTTTTGTTTTTTAATGCATTAGTTTATTAAATCTAACAGAAAGAACTTTTTTATACAAAGATCTTTGAATTATGATTCATTATGAATATGACATTTTGAACTAATCTGAATAACATAATTTTCATTGTAAGTTTTTTTTGATAAATAAAACACAAGAAAAGAAAACAAAAACTTTTTTCTTTATCTCGATATAAGTTATTTATACGATTCCTCTCAAGTATGTTCACCACACATTGCAAAAGATAAGACTATTTCTCAATTACGAAGGCACATCATTCATTTTATGTAATAATCATGCAATTAAGTAATTGAAGCATTCTCACGCGAAGATTCCTTACTGAAGTATACATTTAGTCAGAAGAGATCGTCCCTTTTTTTAACACTATCACTCTTTGCTAATATATTGATGATTATAAAAAAAATAAAGTACAATTTAATAATATGTTCACAATATCTTCTACTCAATATTAGAACAACAAAATAATTTTTTTAGGAATATTTTTTTCTACATATATGTATTATATACACATGTATAAAAAAATTAATATATATTCCTTTATCGTTCATCATCATTTATTACATTTCCTTGATGCGAGGCAATACTTACAAATATTATTTAATAATTTCACATTATTCACATTAATATTATTTAATAATTTCACGTCAATCTTTATTCTTATCGGTGTTCGTAAAATCATACGAATATGTATATACATATAATCATCATTCTTAATATTTATGTAACGCACGCAGACCTTGTGACGATAAGCATTTGTGTATTTTTTAATAAAATTGTTACATAAATCACATGGATTTACATCTCATATATACATCACATATACTTGTCTAATTCTCAAGGCAAAGTGTTGATGCATGAACTGTGATCTTAATTTTAATTACAAATTCTTTTGCTATAAATCTTTTTAATGTCTAATTTTGGAATTCTTCAAAATTTTTTTTTAATTGACATGTCAAGACAATTGTTTTCGATTTTATTCAAGTGACTAAAAATGAAGAGATTTTTCAATGATATTTTTTGTTCACATTTCATTATTATATATCTTTATAATTAATAATTAATAAAATTTTATGTGCGTAATATTAAAACTGTGTAATAATTGATTAAAATAAATATTATCATATATTTATCAAGCGTTGCACGATGAGAATATTTTATTAATTAAATGTTATTTGTCAAGGCTCATATTTATATATAAATATATACGTATACTTGTATGCATATTTATTTAACATTTTTAATTTTCACAATTATTTAAAAGAAAAAAGTAAACAATATACATATATTCAAAAGAAATATTAATTTGACTAATTTCCTTCAAAAAGTCTCTTAATGAATTAATTATTCATAAGCAAAATGGCAATATTAAAAAAGAAAATTTGACATCCTGAAATCATACGGCGATAATGCAGTTTTAAAGTTTGTCGAGTATTATCGAAGGTTCAATTTTAAACATACTTATTATAAATATACTCATGTGTAAATATTCTATTCTGTATCAATACAACACTAAAAAATTAATCAATAAAATTAGTTATGTAGCTAGCTAATTATAATATTCATGACTTTCCGCTGTAAATTATTTCTGAATATTGATCTGACATTTCTGTTTGCATTGAAACTCACATTTATGATAATTCTTCAAAAAATGATTCATTTATTGTTGTATCTTTATCTATACATATATGTGTAGCTATATTATGACAATCAATCATAATAAATAAAAAAAAATATTTTAATCAATATAAATCATTTTTTGATATTTATCATTAAGTTCTCAAGTTGATGAGAATCACATTTATTTATCAAATCTATTGATCAAATTTACATATATATTTAATTGAGGATGTGCATTATTTCAAATAGATGCAATAGATTTAAAATGGAAATAAAATATAAGATGCCTATTCTGCATTCAAGATGTTTTTAAAAACTATATGTTTCACAATTATATTTAAATGATTTTTGTTATCCATTTTTTATTTTAAATGCATTCTTCTTGCAAACTAAAAATTAATCGAGATATAAATAATATATGTACAACAATCAATAATGTATGCATGTATAATCAAAATGTTATTAAAGAAGTCATTAAGTAAATGTCTGTACTCGTAAACAATAATAAATATTTCTGGCAAAAATATATAAAATTTATAAAAGGAAATTTATAAAGAAAATTTATAGTTTATCAAAATTTAATAAAAGAAATAAAAATTTAAACATAAGTTATAATTGTAAGAAGTAAATAATAAAAATACGAATTTAAATATATCTAATATATGTACAATATATATAAAACATTTGAAAAAACCATTGTCATTTTTAAAAACACTTTAAAAATGCCTACATTCCATTTTCTATTTTAAATAGCTATCTAGATAACATTTTACATATTATATTTTCAAATGAAAAGTTTCCAACTATTTTGCATTTTCTATTTTAAAAGGATTTAGACATTATTTTGCACATATCTGATTTTGATGTATTCGTTTTTTCTTTTGTTCAGGTTAAAATACAATTTAATTTTTCCATTTATAAATATATGTTTGTTCATTAAGTCACAAACTTCTATTTTATACCATAAAATATTAAAACTAAAAACATTGTAGAGAAAAATAATATTAACAAAAAATATTTATTTCGATGTCTTCAATTTCCTTTCAAAATTTGTCGGTCTAATAATTTTTAACACCCTGTATACACATTATTTACATACATTTATATATATATATATATATATATATATAAGTTTATATATATATAAATGTTTATATATATATAGAGATATATATATGTAGATATTTATATATAAATATATATATATATAGTATTATATATATTTTAGATATAGATGTATATATTTATATAAGACATATCTTATAGATATATATATATATATATATAATTATATATATTATATAATTATAATATTTATATATATATATATGTATATATAAATCAAATTATTCATTTATATACCTTTTATTATAAAATTTTTAAAATCTTTAATTTACACATCATAATTTTCTAAGAAAAATTACAGGAGATATTTCTCTTTTTAATTATTTTAGTTTTTTAATTTATTAGAAGGCGCGTACTTTGCGATCAAACTGTCCGAAAACTAAAGGAAAAAAACACGAATTAAAGATTTAGAGGCAATTATGCGACGATCTCAAAAAATTATTGTAAAATATCCGTTGATACTTTAATCGCAGTAATGCAGAGCAAATTTAAGGAGCAAAAATTTATAAGAGTAAATTTCTACGTTACCATTTATTAAACATAATTCTTAATCTAATTGTATTACAAAAGTATAACATTAGAATATAAATAATGATAATTTAAAATTGATAAACATAAAATGAGAATAGAATGATTAATGTGTTTGCAAATTTATTTTTTTTTAATTTGCATTTTCGGTATTACGGTGATTAAATTATCAGCTGATATTGCAACCATCTTATGAGATCGTAACGTAAAATCTTTTTTGCTTGCCAGCGCTTTGTGATAATTGTGAATGTATAATTAATTAATACGCTTCATAATTGCTGACAATTTTATATTGAAAATTGTAATTCTCATTTTTAATGATAAATGTAGATTTTTGGTCATAGGAATAGGATTTTTGCTCATAGGAACATTCAGTTCCGAATAAAAACAAGTTCAACTGTTAAATATCTGGATATAAAAAGTTATTAAAAAATCATATGCTTGATGCAAGCAGTTTAAAAAAATTATTTTATAATATGCGATTATTAAATGTATTAGGAATATTTATATCTTGGTAAAAATTAATAATTATTAATTTTTTAAATTATAACTTTTCACTTTTCTATTTTGTTTGCAATAAAAATGCGGACATATGAAAATCAATATGTTTAGTCTTGTTTTTTTAAAAGTTGATAAAAGTTATTTATAAACATCAATTGTGAATTATATTAGAAATTATAAGCGTGCATTGTGTTGTCTAGTATATAAATTATTTAATTACCAGATATGTATGTATCACTGAGAAAAAAATGTTGTTAATTCAATTGAACGTCGACATCACGGGCTATTTTTGTTTAAACATATGCAGTATAAACAAAAGCATGACATCTTGATTTGATTAATTATGCCATTGAATTAACAAAATACTGATGAATCAACTGCATATGTTTGTGGCAGCCGATGACATCGATGTTCAATTGAATCAACATTTTTTTCTCAGTATATATATTATACTTTTTACTGAAATCCGCTTTTAAATATAATAATTAAATCAATAAGATGAAATATATTTAACAGTCATATTTGATACGTGAAAAAATAATATTTTATCCGTAAATTTCTCTACTATGTTTTTACTTAAATATTTTATACGTCAATCTATGTTTCATATAATTTAATTATTATTTTTATTTAAATATAATGCATTCCAAACATCAACCAAACATTGAGCCGAGAAAAAATGAATACAAATGTCAGTTTTTTCTTTTTATTATTTTTCTTCTCATTTCTTATGTTATTTTAATTAATCTTTTTTTTATTGCAATAGAGACACTATAAAATCAGTATAATTATCTAAGAGATAGCATCGTTGCCTTTAGTTGCCTTCCGATTTAATGTAATAATTTAAATTTTTAGTTATTGTAATTTGTTTCGAATGTAATTTTATTTTTGAACAAATTATTATTTCTCATGAAAACTAATCGCGGAAAGCCTTTAAAAAGGGATATATTTACGTATATTTTATATACGTATAATATAATTATATATTTTTATATAATATAATTACATATATATATAAATAATAAATAAATGAATGCATGTGTGTACAAAAATCTAATTTTTTTACGCATTTAACAATCTAATTATTAACGTGTATGTAGGAATAAATCACGCGTTGCGCCGAGCCGAGGAAGACGTCGGCGCGGTATCGATCTCGTCCGCCTCGCGTGTTCTCGAATTTCGAGAGAAGTAGCGCGTCAAACCATCGCGCCACGCCACGCCACGCCGGTAACACGGCGCGTTATCATCCCCGTGTTATTGCGATAACGCCGCTGATCTTACGTAAAATAAAAAATACGAGACATGCAACATGTGACACATGCATGCTCGCGAAAGCTTTCATCACGATATTGCGGGATGTCAAGCGCGAGCTGTGTCGAGTTAGCTGCTCGGATCCTGCGAACCGTCCGGTGACGCGACGTGATGATGAAGCCGAAGGATGTCTCGGTCTCGCGCGCGCCGAGTGCGCGAACGCGCGTGCGCGCGCGCACCCCGCGCTCCGATTGGTCGGCGCCACATGGTCTGATGTCAGACCACGGGGACGGTCCAATTCAATAATAAGATGCTGGCGGGCCTGAATGCGTGCCAGTCCTGTGTCTGATCGCACGGCCGTTTGATTGCCGTCTCCAGGGAGCGAGAGCCACTCACTCGCGCCGTCTGTCAGGCGAGCGAGTGCGAGTCACACGAGAGGAGGCGAGAGCACCCGCGGTGATTCAAAAAGACACGACGCGAGTATATTATTCTAATACACTTAAGCAACGTTCCAGTTCCTCTCCGCTCTGCGAGACACATTTTCTGTCTACTACGTTTCTTCAGGATTATATATATTACATATATATATCGGAGAAGAGAGAGCACACGAGAATATCAGGTGAGTCCGAGGCTAATCGATATCGGGAGGTTGACGTGGATATAATCGCTTTCCGAGGAAGTTGCCGGTGTATTATTATTTTTTTGAGGATAATTTCGCCGAAAAAATATATTTCCCATGTTGTGTCGACGAAAGTCGATATTTATTCTTATATTTGCATATCAACTAACATCTAGAAATATATTTATTAACAATATAAGGAATTTACTAGGCCAACTTACGAGACATACACAAATAACGTTTTTAATTTATTACGTTAATTAAATGGATATATAAAAATCAATGTATATGTTTCAACCTTACTCGGTTTTCTTCAGTACAACCAAATTCATAATTTAGATATAGGCGAAAGATTTATGCGTGAATTGAAGAGAAACTAGAATATATTTATTGTATCAAAATATATTTTCTGACACTAATTTAGTTGCATAAATAGTAAAATGCAATTTTAACGAGATTTGTAAGACAAATTGCCTTTCTGAAAAATGTATTATTTAATATTTAATAACATTATTTAATATTATTTAATATTATTAATTAATATTATTATATCATCACAGAAAAACAGTATTCTTGAAAGAATGCAAATATGCCTTGATTCAAGTATATTTTATTTTTATAATAGCGCCAAATATAAATAATTTTGGATAAAGGATAATTTATCCTTAAAACAAAGTGCAAAATATTCTTGATTGAAGCTGAAATTTACTTATAAGTATTGCAAGGACAAGTGACAAGTGAGTATCGGATATAAGCGGTACTTTCAAATATATATGTATAATAATTCTTATTGTAAGTTTGTTTTTACCATATGCTATTTTTAAAATAAGAATATATTTTAAGGATAAAATATACTTTATACAAACTTATTTATTATCAAAGCAAGTGAAAATTTGTGATTACAAAGAGCATTCTATGCTTAAATCAATCAAAGAGGTCAAGAATAAAAATATACTTGAATCAAGGATTCCTTTTTTTCTGTGATTTGATATCTAGAAATGTATTGCGTGAGTATTTGATATCAATATAAATTTTGATAATCGATCACATGAATAAATGATAAAAGCATTTTGAGATTTTTAAAACAGTTTGCATTTCTTAAGAAATATGAACATATATACTTTAATTAACATTTGTGATAATCATCTGATAAAGAGCTTTTTTCGAAAAAGTTATATAAGATCAAACGAATAGATTGATGAATTTATAAATAGATTGTCCAATATAAATTACACATGTACACATTTTTTAAAAGTGATATGTATATATAAAGAATTCTCGATAATCAAGATATTTGCTTATATGGACAAATTTACATATTCATTATGTGTAATGAGAATTGTTCTCAATATATCATATAAAAAATGATATAGGAAAAATATAAAATAGCATAAAATATAAAAAAGTTTAGAAAGTGTCAGATAAAAGTGAGCAAATTTTTTTTATAATTATTTCTCAAAATATGTCCTGCAGCAAAAAAAAAGCATTTAAATTTATTCATATAAAGTTATAAACTGTTTTCTATTTTTACGTAAATTATACAAGTATATTAATAAATTTAAATTGATAATACAAGTTACATATACATATACACACCCACTCATTCTTCTAAAAAAATATTCAATATAACAGAAAAATATTTAATATAAAAATTTAATAAAAATATTTAATCTAAATTGATTATACAAGTTACATATACGTATATTCACCTACTCATTCCTCTAAAAAAATATTTAATATAACAGAGAGTATTCTGGAACAAATTTTCGAGTTTCATGCATTATGACGAATGCTAATTATTATAATTAGTGTCGGATGTTAAATAATCAAGACATATTGTATTATTTAATGCGCATGGAAAAGAGAAACGGGAATAATCGCGATTGCGTGCACTGTTTGTATAAACAGCTAACGGAATCGAATGCGCTGTGATTTCAAGAGTGAAATGTTGAATATGTTTACAAAGGCTTTTTAAGATTCACGTAGTAACTTTTGTAAATAGTAAACAATAACAAAGATACTTACGAAATAAAATAAACTTAAAAACAACACAATTAATTAAAGATACTTATGTATATTTTTTTATAATTTATATATACAATAATTAATAATAAATAAAATAAATTATTATTATTATGTATATATTAATTATTTATTATTATTATTATTATTATTAATTTATTTATTTATATTTTTATATTATTTATATATTTGTATATATATTTATAATTAATATACATATATTACATATGTATAATATAATAGAAATCGTTTATTATGCAAACATCACGAATTTTTCATTTCTTGTAGTTTCGAGGCTAGACATTGTCTATCAAGTTTGACGCTTCGTGTTTACATTATTACATCATACGTAATACGTTTCTTAGATATATGATATCAAACTGATATCTGCAATATATCTTTTACAAATATATCTCTTATAAATGATTCATGCATACTTATTCATGAGAAGTATAGTAAGATATTGATATGATTACGCAGAGGAAAATCTTATCGAATAAAAAATTTAAGAATAGCAGAAAAATGAATTAGAATTCAATTAATTCTTGCTATGCAAATTATAAATTCAATGTTTATATTTTGCATTAAAATTATATATATTATATATTTATATATTTTTTATATTATATGCATATTACATTTCTTACAAATTTTATATTCTAATATGCTTTTCTATTTTTAGTTTTTAACTTTTGATAATTCATAACAACTTGAAACACAAATTAACTGTTCTTATCTTCTTTTTACTAACAAACTAAGGTCAGATTAATTATATGAGTTATCTATGTTTCCGATGAAATATTCGACGGAAGAAAAATTGAAATCTATATTTATTTATTTTAAGTGCGTACTTTAAAGAGATAAGTTTTTCGTACGTTCTTCTCCGTTCATCTACAAATTTTTATCTAATCTACAGCGAAATATTCGCTTAACAAAAACTTAATTAGATGTAATTGTTTTTCTCAAGTGCTAAATAGTCGGTTTGTAATGAATATTCGAATTAAAAAAAAGCTCGTTTAAAGAGTTAAATGAATAGTTATTAAGTCTCTTGCTATCTTGTTTCAACCTTCAAGTGTATAAATAGCGAAATTATGTTTTCCACACAAAAGTCACTTGCAATATTATCGTAAACATTAATTTAAAAATTCATAATTATTTAAGGTAAATGTCATCTTCTTGATACTAATTTAATTTTATTTAATATCCAAAATTATGTAATTTTTTAAAATATTTTACTTGTCTTTTCAAAACTGCATATTATCGGTGCATCTCGATTATATTATCAATTGCGTGCTCGCGAATGCGTGGGAGTTATTCCGAAGCTATGATATCCCATTTGTCTGTTTCTAATGACATGATTTAATGAGGTTTAATTTGTTCATTAATCAATTAGGCAAGCAATCGACAAGATACAGGAGCCACGATGATTAACCCTTGCATTGTACCGCATGCACGATCAGTTTTCGATCGTGATATGCGATTTCGTATTCCTCGCCATTTGCAATTAATGCATATTTATATAAAAGTTCGTTTAATATTCATTAATTTCTCATAAATCAACTGCGTTATTATGACACTTGGAAGCTAAAATTGATCTCAAATATATTTCAGATAACAGACTGACGTCATTAAACGTCAAAGTGACGTCATTTTGACGTTTAATGACGTCAGTCTGCTACCTGAAATATATTTGAGAGATCAATTATAATGAAAAAAGAATGTTTGCCTATTATAGGCTCAGCAAAAATCTCTAATTGTAAATAAAGATCGGAATTATATATTAAAGCAAAAAATCATTTTTATTTTATTTTCTGAACACATTACATATATAAATTGGTAGAGTTAAATCGACGTAACTAGCCAGTTTATTTAATTAAATTCACAACGTTTCGACCATTTGGTTGTGGTCCTTATCAAGTGAAATACACTATAAACAAAAAGACAGTAGTTTTTACATTTAGAACGCATTTATAATAAATAATAATAAAATATAAATTAGAATTACAAAGGACGTACTTAATTAATAAACGATGTACTGATCAAATTGTACTTAAAAAGAATCTAATAAATTATCATAGTAATAAATATAAATAAGGAAAAAGAAGAAACACGTCTCATCAGTATGATGCTCAGTCAACAACTAAATTGACACAGTTAAAAAGACATCTATACGACCTTTATAATTATATCATAAATATTTGTCAAATTTTCAGTGTCCCTTTGTAAGTTGTGAATTTAATTAAATAAACTGGCTAGTTACGTCGATTTAACTCTACCAATTTATATTTACCACTAGCGATATATATACTATTCCTAAATTACATCACATATATGTCAAATTAAAGTAAAAAAAAAGTTTTAAACTACTCACTTTTTGATCATCCTTATAACTTTTTATGTAGTATGTGCGATATTGTTATATTGTGAGGAATTGATTTATATTAAAAAATTGATGTTTCCGTTTTAAAAAAAATGATCTTTAAATCTTCTAATCACCTTCACTCAGGAAAATTGTTGATCTTCCTTGAATATTTTTGTTCCTTAATGTAGTTGAACTAATTTCGATCTTTACTTACAATTTTTGATTTTCTTCAACCAATAGTAGACGATTAACTGATTCAAATCAATAATCTCATCTATTAATTGTCATATGTATATACAATTTTTTCATTGTATTTATTGTATACACAATAATCATTAAGATATACAGGGTCCCAAAAATCTAGAAACGTTTGATTATTTTGTAAACAATGCATTTTAGAAGAAATTGTTACAGATAAAAGTTTTAGAGTTTAAAAATATCTATTTAACTTGATCTTATCCCTTTGACCTTAGATTGTCAAGGTCAGGGCAAGATTATCTTGAATTTTTTTAATGGAACTATCATATTTTTTTATATAATTCGATTCCTCATAATATTCTGCATGAAGGTCATAAGATAGGAGGATGAAAAAGTTGATGAATAGTTTATATGAGAT